GTTTGAAATTGCCTGTGACACTTGAATGGGAGTCTGGAAATCAAGTGCAGCGTTTTCCGGATACCTAAAGTGCACGTTTTTTGTTTCCTCAAATTGTACTGCGTTCTTTTTCTTAAAGCTTAGTAGCACTAGCCATGAAATTTACAATTGCGTGATGTGAGTGGTATTTGTGTGTGTGTTCTCATTCAAATAACCCATAAAGCTGCGAGGGAAACTTGGCTTTTAATGACATCAGAATATTCTTAGCTTGAAAGGCAGCTTTTCTGTCAAATTTCGAACAAAAGTAATTGCTTGGATTGCATTCTTCTTTATTATTTTTCATCTTTGGCGTTCAGCCATACAGTTTGTCAAGTTTCAGCATGCGACCGTCAAGCAGGCGATAGTTACTGATTGAAAACATGCTGTTCAGAACCGAAAGGCCTGCTATAGCTGTGCCTAGTGTAGTGGTAGCATTCAATAACACCAGTACCATGCAATCCCCTCGTCAAGATCCCGGCTTAATTTTTTTTATTTTGGATGAATTATGAGAAACGAGGCATCCGCTTTTATTACGCAAGCATTGACGTAAGCTGAATTTTTCCTAAAAAAGAAGGATTTTTGTTCTCCAAAACTGACACCTGACTAATGTAAAAATCCGGTGCAAAATTAGGGTGTTTTTCCTCCTCCTCTAATCCCAGTAATACTTATTTGGATGCCTGGATCAGGTGTTGTTTCATCACTGTGTTCTTTTTCGCCACTATTGCAGCTAGCAGTTTTTCCATTCTTCTCTATTTTGGGCTTCTCTCATCCAGATATTATCATATATCCGTTCAAGCCAAATGGCTCTAAAAATCAACGCAGGCAGATACACAAGTCTAGTTGCTCAGTGAAACAAGACGCACTTTGTTTTTTCTGCGAAGTTTATGCGGAATTGAGCACAAGTGAGTATTTTTTTCAATGCTCGCAAAACTATACGCAGTGCTAAAAAAGAAGGGAGGAGAGAGAGGACTTAGAATTGTTTTGAGGATTCTGCTGAAAATTAGTCGATTCGTAACGAGTGGAACTGACAGATGATTTTGAAAACTGCTTCCTTCTAATGACTAACTGAAGCGTTACTGAGCTGTACTTTTTTTACTGAAATACGTTATAGTAGTCCAAAAGTTCTAGACCGACAAAAACGGGCGATTTTGGAAATTTTTAGGAATTTGAATGCAAAATTTATGCTTGAATAAAGTTTTTAGATTTTGCCAGCTTTTTTCAGTCTTTTTGTTTTCACCTTGCTACTCCG